AACTAACTGCAGAAAAGAGGCAGAAGGTGGTCAATCAGATGAGCCCTCAATAGTGACAGCTCTAGTGAAAGAAAGAGCACCAAATAGAGTCTAAATTCTCCCCAGTATATTCAGGTTCACGATGAAAAGTCAACTCTGAACCCCCAGGCTGCATGAAGGTCTCCAACTCATCCCAATTCAGGTCACGGACAGTCTCCACCGACACTTTGATTTAATTCTTATTCATTCCTTTTGTAAGGTAAAGTTACAAGTATCAAATGCTTTATTTTACAAAACTAACTGACATTACCTTAACTATTGTGTTGTTTGATTTTGAATTTAGGCTACTTGAAGAATATCAAAAATACTAAGTTTTTACTTGGACTAAGTAAGCATTTGCTTAATAAGTGAAATAAGTTATCATTATTCAATTCTCTAGGTTGATTACAAATCATCTGTGTCCAATATTGTCATAAATATGTTTAAGAACATGAAAACCAATTCTAAGTTGGCTGGAATTAAATGTCTTGTGTTTCTAAACATTTAACAACATACAAGCTTAACTTATAGTTTTAATATATTTAGTATCCCACATACCACTACATGTACGTGTGATGTTTGGGTGTTAGGCATTAAGCACTGTAGGTAATGCAATACTTTTTTCATGTTAATCTGAAAAATTTTAAATTGGAAAATAACTATTTTGATACATTATATAAAAAAGTATGCATTATAGTTTAAAATGTAATATTTAGAAAGGATAAATGAAATTTTAAAGGATAGCTCAACCTCTTATATTTACATTTATAATTTACCAAATAGAGGGTTTATTTTTATTTATTGTGCAAATTTATATTTGTGCAGTACATATTGCAAGTGCAGCACTGCTATTTTATTCTTATAATAGTAATGACTTGGTAATTTCAAAGTTGCATTAAAAAGTAAATAAAGAAAGGATACTCATCTGACAGGCAAAGTATAATGGTAAAACTTGTTGTTCTGGGAATCAGGTGATATGCCACCCCCTGTTTAAACACACAAGCTATGACATTCTCTTATACTGTATAGTTTACAGCATTTAAACTGCTGTTTCAAAAACTGAATCTGTACTATTTACTACAAATTTTTATTTTACAAAATTGAGCCTTCTGGCTTTATTCATTTGACTGAAAGTGAAGCTCATGTAAAGCAGCCAAGACTAAGAACAAGATATGAAGCCAATTCCAAGAGGTGGTCACTTTTGTCTTACCTGTATATATATAACAACTAGAATAGAAGTAAATATCTTTAATGCTCAAAACTTTCTGAAAAAATTAGGGAATGGCAACTTCTTTTCTAAGTACATACTTGAAATGTGTTTCAAGGAAAGCATGATTGTCAGAAATGTTTCATTTGTTTTGTTATGAGCAATCTTTTTCGTGTGGCCATTTGCTGGTCAGTTGGACTGTTTGGCTATCAGCTTACAGGCATTGCTCCTTTAGTGTTGCTTTACACTATTATTCTAATGTTTAATTATGTATCTCTGGTAGCTTATTTACCAACCTCCATCATTTCTGCAAGTATGCACGTGATGATTTTGAATGATTTTCATGTTCTTTTATCAACTTAATTTGGTTTTCAAGTAATAAATTAATGTTACAGTTTTAGGTTTTCCATGACTGAGACAGTTGGTGTAAAAATTACCATTATCCATACACAAGTATGAATCAAATGAAGATTACTTTTACAACAATAACATATTTACAAATGGTAAAAATGACCAGTATCCAATTTTAAGGGATGGCCAAATAAAGTGAGGCATATACATCTTGCACAAGTAATGCCTGTTTTGCCAAATACAAAGGGTGTAAAAAAGTATATTTGAGAAGTTTCATTGTGCAATTAAGCAGAATTCAGTACATGATTTCTACAAATACTTCAGGCCCCTCATTCATTTGCACTTAACCACAATACAGTAGCCTTTATATTAATGAATCATGTTTAGACTTTTCAAACTTAAGCTACATATATTCATATGCTTCATTCATTAGTTTTACAATTCTTACAACTTTTATTATCTACTTTTTGTAATTTCAAAATAATTTCAATTACTCATCATTTCATCAAAACATTTTGAATAACATTTACAGAAACACTAATCAAAAGCAAACATTTTAAAATTCTGCCTGCATTTTTTTGAAGATTTGATAAGTAATTTGTCAAATTGCAATCATTCTTCAAAGTCTGGGTGAAGGAAGTTCATATATTTTAAAATAAAATTATTCATGATGTATAAATATATTTAATAAAACAAATCAACTATTATTTGTTTTTATGTCCAAGTGAGAAAAAAAATTAGTGTTTCACATATTATACTATCTTTAAAATCTCCAATCCAGATAAATATATAATATTAATAAAGTTATATTTAAAGTAATTAGATCACCAATATGTATATGTGTTCAACTGCTTACATAAATATATAACAATTAGAAAAAATCATATGTAATTCTTATGTGGATAATAATACCTGAGGCAGAGGGCAGATTTTGGCTAGAGAACTTTGGGACATTTCTCTCAGTAGTTCCAGGACAGCATTTCTTACCATATCATATGTCCATATATTACAATTACTAGCAGTCCTGTTAAAAAACAACAATATATATTTTCTGCCAACAAATCCAATACATAAACTTAAGTATATCTTTAACCTTTACTCATTAACCCAACATCACTTAGTACACAACTATTTAAAGCTCAATTAAAGTGAAGGTTATAGAATACTTACACAAAGGCAAGATTAGAGAACATGGAAAATGTTGCAAGATATAATATGTAATTACTACAGATATTTTCAGAAGTACATAATTGTACACCCATTTCCAAATGTAATTTTACTAAGAATGCAAGTTTTTTCTTTTTACCTTAATCAAATATCAGGGCATTTTGAAAAATTTATGAAAGGGATAGGTCCAAGTGAATCTTAAGAGTTGTCAAGAAAGAACAACAACCTTCATATAGATTTTTTTGTAAAAAATGTAAAAAGCATTCTCAGAGCAAGGAAATTACATGGAAGCCAAGGCAATCAAGTCTTAATTAATCCCAAGCAGTGCATTGAAATCCAAAGCAATATACAATTTGATTTATGACTGACCATAAAAATGTTTGCCCTGCTTTCAAACATAGGCATAAACATTAATACATTGAAATTGATGTTGTTACAAATTACTATAGAATGTAATTTAAAGAATAAATCAAAAACCTATATCCTTATTAACTCTTAGAAGATCAGTTCATAATTGAAATAGCTTGTTACAGATTTTATAAACAAAATATAAATACCAATAAGTAGAATTGAATAAATTATCAAAAAGCATAACTTCACACAAGTGTGCATGCAACTTTATGCAACGAAAAATTTAGAATACTGAGAAAGAGGCATTCACTTACTTATAGCGGTACAGCTCCCACCCCAAGCTTGGACGAGGGCATGTCTGTTCAGGTAAGAGGGTAAGAACCCTATTCTCATGAGCAGGGATGATGCACTGCTTGAGATGCTGTCTTTCAGTAGTTAAATACATAAACCCAGATAAGATTATGTTTTCTTAACCTTTCTTGAATTCATACTTTGTCATACAAAACAAATTTTTATCATTTATGACTAAAAGAAATCAAAAATTTTGGAATGGAATAAAATACAGATTCTCTATAATTTACTTTGAATGAATTAACTACTAAAGTTAATTTAGATTTCTAAGATGCCCTTATAGTCTAGATTATAGAAAGTCCTAAGAAAAGTAGAAAGGAAAAATTTGCATACTAATATACAGATACATAAAATATTATAATTATGATACAAATATATTTAAAACTTAGTGATAATTAACATTTTCTTACCCTGAAAATGTATTCCCAATAGGTACTTTCCCCCCTTCTCACCCAAAGCTATCTCAACCTTGATTTTCTCTCTAAGCACTGGTAAAATTTTCAACAGTGCACCAGTCTATTATACCCCTTCATTTTTGCTATTGCAGCAATGTGTGCTTATCATATGACTACCCTCCACCAATCATACTGTGCCATCTATACTAGCATAGATAGCTCCCTCTACCATTGCAGCACAATCCTCACTTTTGAGAATTGGCAGATACAAACCAGAAACAGCAGTAAATCAGTGGGGAGGAAGTGGGTGAGAAGAGGTAATTACCTACCAGAAAATGTTAATTAATTTAGTGTTAGAAAATGTTAACTTCCGAAATTGTACTACCTCCTCTCACCGAAAGCTAGAATCCCACATTGCAAAAGTGGACGGGCTGTGAAGGTGCAAAAGTAATCAAACAAGCAGAGAACAACTGCTGTGAAAGAACAGGTGTGCCACAATTATAAAAGGAGACCCACCTGTGAGGTATGGCACTACTTCTGGAATAGGTATGTTCTTTGCCCAGTAACAAACAAAGTAGGACACGTAGGACAGAACTCAATAGGCAGGCATCATGTTATGAAAGACAGATTCCACCCATGGACAACAGATAGTATATAAGATGTCCACATATGTAACAAGCATGAGCACGTGACACAATGATAGTTGGATTGCAAGAAGGTTCCTATAATCTGATATATGAATACGTGGCTAGAGCTAAGGGACCATATATGAATAGGCCAAGTGCAGTCCACCCGGGTAGAAAACATCCAGGGGAAGCATCTTGGATATATATTATGATAGCCAAGTGCAGTCAGCCCTGGCAAAAACATCCAGGGGAAGCACCTTGTGATATTATGGAGTATGTCAAGTGCAGTCCATCCGAGCAGAAAACATTCAGTGGAAGCACCTTGCACAAGACTGAATGTTTTATATCTGTATCATAATATAATTAGAGATCAACAAGATCGGTCCATCCAAGCAAAAAACATCTGGGAGAAGTGCCTTGTATGGAGTATATTATGATATGGTATAATACTAAATATAATAATGATATCCCTGTTCTAACAGAGTGGGTACATATAACTATGAAGTTTGTTTTATCATACAAATTCAACTCTTGAGGAAACTTCCACAGTCAATCACTCCAGCAACTGGGAGCTGGAAGTGGCAAGGACCACCGTGCTCCATTAGAAGAAGGGGGTGGGGGATATGCATTGAGGGATCCAGAGGAATTACACACTGGAGGCAGAGCAATAGGTGTCTGCATTTCCCTATTTTGAAAAGCAGAAAGACCATGATTGTAAGAATCACAGGTTAGTAGAGATGGGCAAAAATCCCTATCTGCTTTACTCATGAAGTCGATGAGTGATGGTCTTTGATATATGATACAGTGATAATAAAATATATATACATAGAAATAGATAGATACACACCACCAGATAAGTGGCTGGTGGTCTTATAGAAACACCTCATTTCCACAGTGAGCATTCTAGAAGTATACAGATTTAGTGCTAAGATATAAAATTCAACATACCTGACTAGGCAACATCTGTCACCAGGTGGGATCCTGAAATATGATGTATATCAATGAAATAACATAAAAAATAATAAAATGTTGACTTACACAAGTCAAAAGTGAACAGATGTGTGTAGAATTCCCACAGGAGGAGGAAGATAACCACCCAAGAAAGACACAGCTATGATATGCTGAGAAAGAGTGACAAATGTATTGGGAATTGTACACATCCAAGCCTGAATGATCTCCTTCAAAAAATGGCAGTTTCAAGCAGCTAAAATCTTGGTTAGATGACAAATTTGGTGTGAAGAAACATTATGAAGATGGCAACCTGCATGGACATGTCAAAATATGCATATCGTACGAGTTGACAAACCCAACCAGTGAGTGTAATATGTGAAAGATCATGAGAAACAGAGGTATACCATGGAACAATCAGACAGGAAGGAAAACAATGAATGAAAGCAGTATGAGCTAAATAAAATAGCATGGAATGAGCTGGACAATGGAAAGGATTCAGATCTGAACAGGAATACAGGTGGGAAAAGGATTATAAGGAAAAAGGAGACAAGGCAAAACAACCTTCCTGGGCAGCTAATGTCCTGAGAAGAAAGGCCCGATTCCAATACTAGATAACATATAAGGAATGATAAAGGGTGGTATAAATATCGGAACAATGATGACTGCATGCCAGGAGGGTGAAGAATTAAGTCTAAAAAGTAAAATGGTACAAGAAACAAATTGCAATGGGTTCAAAGGGAGAACCGGACAGGGAAAGAAGAGTAACATTGAGATCCTACTCTGGCAGAAGAAAGGAATGTGGTGGATGGACCAGATGAAAGGAACAGAAAAGGAGGGAAATATCTAGGGCAGAAAACGCTTACTAGAAGTGGGAGAATGGAATGGAAGGTGTTTGACAGGGCAACCATATAAAGAGTAACAGTTGAAAAAGACAAATCTGATCAAACAACTAGATGAAGAACTAGGACAGGTGAGGGACAGAAGAATAGGATGGTCAGAAGCTATGGCAAGTAGACCAAAGTCTCTGGTATATAGACAAGGAGGAAGGGCAATTGGTACAGCCAAGAAAAGATACTACATGAGGGGCAAGTCCCTGAGGTGAGGCATGGAACTGGACAAACGTCACTTGGAAACATGGAGCGTGATGAGAATGGGATAAAAAAAAGACATTGCAGTTGTCAGAGGAGCAATCAGGACAGAGAAAAAAGCAGGGTATGTTTCTCCAGTAAGGGCAAGAGCAGAGGGAACCACATCTGAGCTGGCCAATACAGAGCAACCCAGCAGAACACAACAAGGAGTGGTCTGGATAATGGAAAAGACCCAGAAGAGGAGTCTGACTAGAGAGTAGGCAGGTAGGTGAATATCCCTGCAATCTTGGCTGAACGCATACCCCAGAGCTTAGGGGTGAGGAACTGGAGACCAAAAAGGAAGGAAGTTTGGCATTCCAGTGAGTAGGAAACACATACATTTATGTAGCGTTCTCTGTTCAGAACACCCCCAAAGAAATACCTGAAGATGAAGAGACCACTCTGTGGAGAGCCTGGTATAGATTTGATAAGGGATCAGCCATAAGATTCATAACTCCGGGAACATGACCTGCCAAAGCCAATTATGTCGTGGTCATTAGCCTAGTATAGGGAGTCCAGAGTCTGAAAAGACAAAGATCTGGACTTGGTTCACCCTTGCTTGGTGATAAAGCTGATGACAATGGAATTGTCAGAATAAACCATAACCACCCTCCCTTGCAAGAATGGGAGGAGGAAATGATACAGAGCCTGATGAACTGAAACAAAGGTTCCAGGATGTGGATATGGAGAGAAGCCTCCTCGAATGACCACCATTCCAAAATCTCTGGGAATCAAGGAAAACCCCAAACCCACTAAGGAAGCATCTGTGAACAGATGAGAGATGCAGGATGAGGCAGAGGAATGGGAACCCCAACTGTGGTCATGTCCCTGTCAAGCCACCAAGCAAGGTCAGTCCTGATCCTAGGTGGAAGGGAAATGGGATGGTCCAAGGGATTGTGAGGGGAAGTATCCAATGAAGGGAATGAGAACTTCCAAAGAAGCTCACATCCCCCAAAAGAGATAGAACCTCACTTGCAGAGAGAGAAGGAGTAGGTAGGGCTAAAGTGACTTCCCATTCCATATCCTGGACCTGAAGTGTAGAAGGCTAGGCATGACCATGACAGGAAGTGAAGAGAATCCTCAAATTAATAGGATACTGCAAGGAGGTAGTAAAGTACTTCTACAACTTCATGAGAAAACCCACCCGAGCAGCTTCTTGAAGAAGAAAGCAGGTGTGAGTGACTGACTGGGCATGGGAATATACAAGCATAAGTCCGATGACACAGTGAGTAAATGTGATGTGCAAAAGATCATAACACTTAACAAAACACATACAGAGCTGAAGAAAGAACAGTAGCACCCAGAACTGGAAGGCAGAACCCTCGTAGACGAACTGAAGAAAAATGACGTGACACTGGGGCAAAAAATTAACTAAAGTGAGAGGTAGGACACCATGGTGGAGCAAGGTGTCTCCAGATAAGTTTACAGCCAAGATAGATCAATGATGGAACTCCAAACTCCCATGTTTTTGGAGCCAAAATAAAGATGGGAGTAAAATAATGGTTGAGTGGGCACCACTCGTTCGATAGCTTCTTTGTGTAGTAGGACTCAAACAGACTCAGTCAGATGACTGGTACAATCCCAAGGAGGAGGGAAGGAGATTCGGAAAGTGGATAGAGAGGCAGTGAAACAGAAGGCAGAAAACCACATATAGAACCTGTATAAACCATGGGACTGTTGTGAAGTGTAGCCAAAAAGACACATAAACTAAAGAACTAACAAAACTTAGAAACATGTAGAGGCTATAAAGTACATAAAAATACCAAACCTGCAAAAACTATGGAATTCAACCTAAAGCATAAAACAATAAGTAACACTTCAAGAACAAAACCACTAAAGGAACTGATAAAATAAACAAATCTTAAATATCAAATTTATAAGTCCACTCAAAGAATCTATAAAACAAAGGACACAAAAATAAGACTTACCCTAAAGAACATGAGAATAAAAGGTACCCAGTTAACAATAACAAAGT